GACAGAGACAGGAGGAGGAGCAGGGGACAGAGGCAGGAGGGGAGCAGGGGACAGAGGCAGGAGGGGGATCGGGGGACAGAAGCAGGAGGGGAGCAGATGAACAGAAACTGAGAGACAGATACAGGAGCGAGGGCAGAGGGACAGAGAAGCAAGAGGGGTAGACGGGTTTGAGGGGTGACAATGTAGGCATCAGCGACAGGAAGGAAGGGAGTTGGTGGGTCAAGAAGGAGGGGAGTGAGGGGATAGGCCAGAGGGGGGTTGGGAGCAGTGGCGGGGGCAGGAGGCCACTTGGCACCCTGCAGRGTGGAGGATCTGCTCTCAGCTCTGATGGGGCCTGGGGGAGTTGTGAGTGACAGTCCTGGGCAGGGCACTGAGACAGGGGTCCTGGGCAGCTGGAGGCCTGTGGCTGAGAGCAAGGGGCCTGAGCCTAGAAGAGCACCTGATGCCCAGTGGCACCTGYTGGGCTTCACTGTGGCCAGCGGGACTCTGGGCCTGAGCCCCAGAGCTCTGCTCCACATGCCGTGGCACAGGGCGGGCAGGAAGACGAGCAGGAGGGGTGGCCAGAGCAGCTGGCAGGTGCCCATGAGCACTGCTCCCCTCCCAGCTCTGACTCTGTCTTCTTGCTGTGTCCCAGGGAGACTCAGCCCCACCCATCAGTGTCATTGGCAAGCACCCCCAAGTGCACACGCATGTTAGTGGGTGCACAACCACGTGAGGGGGACACCCAGGGTGTACGAGTCCGTGGAGGTGACAGGTCATTTATCAAAGTTGCRGTCCATCCCGTGGAGAGATGCCCTGTAGAAGAGCTGACCTGTTCATGCTGATATCTGCCCCTTGCCCTAGCGGAGCACTGGCCTGAGCTCCCAGCCCCATTCCAGCTCCTCAGGCCTCAAAGTGCCTGCTCCACCTCCCCCTCCCCTCAGTGCTTTGGACTTCCACTTAACTATCCAGATCTGTCCCAGGGACATGGACAAGCACCCTTCAGGGTACCTCGGAAGGAGCCTGTCTTCCCCAGCTGTCTCCAAAGCAGAGCCCTGGGACTGAGCTGAGGTGGCAGCCCACGAACCCCCAAACCCAGACCCCACCTTCTAGGGCCAGCACAGTGCTTCTTTGAGCAMAGTGGGAAGACTTATGTTCCTAGGGTGACCCACACCTGGGACCGGGAGCATGGCTCAGGATGGAGCACTTGCCTGGCATGCTCAGGGCTCTGGGTTTGATCCTTAGTATCAGAGAAAGAGAAAGTCTGCAAAATTATCGCTTATCTTTACACAATCGAAGGAAGTCAACAGGTAGCACCTCAAGCTAAGGGGGCAGCCTGGGGGTGTGGTTAGATGACCTGTTCCATGCAGACCYCCGGAGGATGCGTCCCGCTCACCTGCACTGGCTCACACAGTGGCGACGAGGCGGGTGGAGGGGCTGTGCCCCTGGTGACGCGTTTCCCTGACAAGGAGAGCAACCTCTACCCTGAGAAAGCACTAAGGCAGCTTGTACTGGGGTGTGGTCTGGCAGCACAGCCCCGACCCAGAGCTGCCTGGGCAGAGTGGCTCGGAAGGGCGACAGGTGGTTGGAAATGAGGAGGGGTGAGCAGTTTGAATGCCAGCTTTGCGCCAGGCACCGTGTGAGATTTGCGGGTGCCCTGCTCTGGGTCTTCCTGCTAATCCACAGCCCACAGCCCAGCCTGACTGTGGGTCCACAGAATCTCATCATCTTCTGGAACTGGCTATGCATCTTCATGTTTTGTAAGAAATAACTCAATAAATTGTTTCCCAAGCTTAACAGATTTCCAATGCTGATTTCAAATTAGCTGTGCTGAAAATATAAGACCGTAGGTGAATGTCGTGGGATGAATTCTTGTCTTCCTGATTCTTGTGTAATGTGGTTGGGATAACCCTGCTGGATTCAGGTATCAAATGTGCTGTTGATTGTTCTAGATGAGTGAAGCAGAGATCAATGGGCAGTTCGAGTCGGTGTGTGAATCCGTCTTTAGTGAAGTTGAATCTCAGGCCATGGATGCCCTCGACCTGCCCGGATGTTTCCGAACAAGGAGTCACAGTTACCTTCGAGCCATCCAAGCTGGTTACTCCCAGGATGATGAATGTGTCCCCGGGACAACGCCCTCCAACATGACATCCACCATCAGGTCGACAACAGGTAAAGAGCACCCTCCCTGACTCCCCAGCAGGAAGCCTGCCGGTGTGCCCAGCCTGTCCCCAGGACTGGTGCATCTCCCCACAGGCGCCCTTCACTCTTCGGGCATTTGGTACTTTTCCAAATTGCATGTGTTACAAAGTCACATTTGCAATAATAGTTTTGAAGCATTTTTTTTCATGGATAGCCTTTATTTTTTCTCAGAAGGAAATCTATAAATTAGCAGGTTCTTTAAATAATTAAGTATAATTTTTGTAAAGTTTTGTACAAGGGGAAGAGGTTAAATGCTGACATTTGGAAGGTGGTTGCATTTTAAATATAGAAGCTAAATAGACTGCAGTGAGATTCAGCAGACATGCAAGGCCTCGGGGGGCCCCTGCGGTGCAGTGTCCAACTCAATCTCTGCCACTCGGGCAGCAGATCCATCAACATGATTCACCGCTGCAAAGCCAATCAATCGTTAATGTAAATTCCCTAATTGTCTTAGGACTCRAAGGATTCAATGTCACGATTTCCTTCAGTGCTAATGGAAAACCATCTCCACCCCTTTGAAAATTTACCACCTAAAACCAAGTATCTCTGGCTGATGTTTCACTGCACCATTATTATTTATGTCTCAATGAATAGGCTCGGCCTGGGGAGGCCATAAAGCACAGCCCGCGGCCGCAGCTGGCTGCTCTGCCTGAAAAGGCAGAGAGGAGGAGCACCAAACACCGCGGTGCCCCCAGCGAGCTCCCTGGTGTTGGGGGGTTGGAACGCCACCGCGGTACCAGAGGGGTTTGAAGTACAGATCCAAGGAGAGAGAACAGATTCTGTCACAATAAAGTGAGAAAAAATGGGAGTGGGGGAGGAAAAGAGGCTGGGAAGGGTGAGTCATGACACTCATGGCTCCCGGCTGCGTCACTGCCAGGCGAGCGGGGACCTGGGGACAGCAGCTGCAGAAGCCCAAGCTGAGCGCTCAGGCCTTCCTCGCACTTGGAGAGGGGTTTGGGTGGAGCCTGTGGATGGACAGACCTCACCTCCCATGGCCCTGTCCGGCCCCGGGTCCTGACCCTTCCCAACTCTGTCATTGAGGTGAACYGCCCAGCACCGCCGTGGCCTAGAAGTGCCGGGAACAACACTGATCTGGAGAAAATGGCTTCACTCCTCGGGCCGTCATTGTGGAGAGAGAGCCACAAGACAGATTTCACAGAATAACCCAGGAACAGCGCCCGACTCAGGCTAGAATTCTGATTTACATACACTCTATTTCGTCTTTACCACACACATGACATATTCTAAAAACTCTACAAACCAAATACATTTTTAAAATCCTTCTGTCCAAATCTTGGCCTTAGCTCTGAGTCAAATCCCCTCTAGACGGCGGCGGAGCGTCAGAGTCGGGGCACAGCCTGGGGCTGAGCAGAGAGAAGCCGGGCAGAATCGAGGCACCGTGGGGCAGCAGCCTCCGGCAGCCCTGCCGCTGCTCCAAGCCCTGCCTGCCACCGGCCGTCATCTGCCTCCGCAAGTACAAGTTAGACCGCGTGAGCCCGATCTGTTGAATAGGGTCACGAGAGCCCAGAGAAACAAAAAGCCCCATCTGGAAAAACAAAAGGGTGGAGAAAATCATCAAAACATTCAGGATGTGAGTGCCTAAATGATGACGATAGTTGAACTTCCGGTTTGATCCAGAGCTTCCTGACAGGGGGCCAGAGGATTTTCATTATTTTGTACTTAAATACTTCTTACTTTTGTAAGTACTCACACTAACCCCGACACTTAATAGCTGACCTTTGTTGGGGTATGTGGGTGTGTAGAAAGAGACTGTTTTGGCAAACTGATTTTCTTTTATGGTTCTAAAACCAGCTCTTGAAAGCAAATCCAAAAGGGTTATTTTCAGAAGCATCCCAAAGTGATTGGTCTTTGTTGGGTTTTTAGTTGTAGTTGGACACAATACTTTCATTTTATTTATTTTTATGTGGTGTTGAGGATTGAACCCAGAGCCTCACCCGTGCTAGGTGAGCGCTCTACTGCTGAGCCGCATCGCGTGATTATTGGCCTGCCCCGCCTGTGAGCAGGTGACGAGGTTTTCAGGCCCCTGTAGTACCTAGACGTCAGGTGTTCTCGCCCTGGAAACACGGGGACAGGAGGGTGTGTCGGCGTGTCCTTCCAGTGCTGCCCTACTGCTCCTGGCCTTGGAGGAGCTCGGCCCGGCCGCAGGGCACCCAGGCTGGTGGGGGTGCAGCGTGTGCTGGACACCCCACCCACTGGCCCTCGGAGGAAACGCCTGCGTGTGAGCGAGTGTCCCCCGCGGGGCGGATCTGAGAGCATCTGGCCCTCATTTCACACTTGGTTTCTTTTTCATCTGCGAAGTGATTTATCGGGCAGGTTTTCTGGTCTGACTTTGCATCTCACCTGATTTTCCTAGGGAAGGAATATTATTGATGCTGTGCAGGAAAATGGCCTGAAATTAGACCACAGGGACTTTTCTCTGGGCCTCCGACCATCTCGACATAAGTCACAGCTGACTCTAGACAGCGTCACGGCAGAGGGGGGCCGTGCAGAGATGGCGGGGAACCCGTAATGATTCTGGGGTCTGTAATGGCTGTTTCCAGGTGGGTTTTGCTAGCACAGGAGAAAGCGGCTCTATCGTTAGGTGCCTGGAGATGAGCACATTTCAATACCGTGGGTTTGTTTCTGTCTCTAAGTGTGGCTTCTCCWTTTGAAGAAGTGGCTGCATCTGGTCCTCCCCCGGGGCCTTCTTGCTCTCACACAAGGCCTTATTTCAGAGATGGGAGAGTCCCTCGGGAGCTGAACCCAAGCTCCTTCAGTGACCTGCCCGGTTTGGCCAGACTGCCCTGCAACTAATGTGCACGTTTACCCACAAAGATAGGGGACAGTTTTTGAAAMTGGGATTTGAGAAAGTAGAGAGTACAAATTAAAAACCCAGATGTGGACATCAAATGGGCTGTTCGTAAAGTGGCTTGGTTACTGGAGTAAAGATGATCTAAAGTCATGACCTAGGGCCACGAGGGCAGAGGGCGACATGCGGGGTGCAGGCCTTGCTTGGTCTACACCACATACATTTGGGRTGGGCGCTCGTAAGTGAATGATGAGTCTCCGCTGACGCTGGCCCAGCGTGAACCTTGAGACACAGAACCACGGACACCCGTTTTCTTCTTGGCAAATCAAGCGGAGCCAAGTTCACTCTGGGGCTGGGGAACCCAGCCCATCATGGCTGCCAGTCGCCGGGTGAGGCCCCACGCCCAGCTGCCCTCTTTGCCATCCCACCACCAGACCTAGCGCCAAGCCACATCTGCTGCCGGCGCCGCACCGTGTGTGATTCAAAGAAACCACAAGCACTGGCTCCATGTGGAGTCGTCCACAGTGGTCCCCGGGTGGCTTTTAGCTCTTCTCAAGCCACGCAGGCTGGAGGTTCCAGGAGCCCCAAGGAGCTTCCAACAGAGCTTGGTCCTGAAATAAAGCCAGCTGAGATGTGTCCCCAAGACCCCAGCCTGGAGTCCTGGCTGCAGGACTGTCCATAACCAGGGCTGCCACCGTGAAGCCAGCCCACAGGCACAGCAGAGCCAGCGTGAGGAGCAAAGGACAAGCCCCACCACCAGAGGAGCTGGCAGAGGCCTGCACCGCGCGTGCAGGGAGAGGCGTGGCTCCGGCTTCCCCGCCCCGAGGGTGGGCCATCAGAGAGGGGACTCAGGCATGTTCAGCTGTCACCAGCCAGAACCGAGCCCCACCTTCGTACTGTCTCCTCACATGGTGACGGGTGGCAGCTCCCTGGGCCTCTCCAGGAGTCACTAATGCCACCAAGAGGCTGCACCCCATGGTCTCAGCACGCCCAGAGCCCCCTCTGAGTGAGGACCCCAGCCCATGCCCTTGGGGGGACCAGACGCTCAGACGTGGCTACCTGCTGAGTTCTCCACGTTGACACGTGCGACTATCGCACAACGGGCTTTCGATCCTGTGCGTTTCATTTTCCTATTTAAAGTGCGGTTTTGAGGAGGAGAGTGCAGGCCGACTCAGAATACCCAGTGGTCTGTGGGCCAGGTCTGACCACCGGTGACTGAGATGTGCAAGATAATACCTGGATTTATTTCCTTYCAGCCAACTTAACTCCAAGTCTAAGTCCCAACCCCTCCTGCCCAAGGTACTAGGAAATTCAACGTCCATCATTTGGGACCTGCCCAGGGCCAGGCCAACACCAGGAGCCCCAGGAAGCCCCTGGCCCTACAGCCCTGTCCAACTGGCTGCCCTAGGATCTCCATGTCCCTCTGTGGGACTCCTCCTGGGTCTGCCGAGGGGCAGGTGTCCCAGGCCCCACCCCACAGACCCCCGGGCCCTGCTGCCGCTGTCCCACAGACTTCCTTCTCTCTGTCTGCCCAGCACCATCCATCTCCCTGCTGAGTTGGCTCTCCCCGGAGTCAAGGCCACTTTGCCAAGAGAGAGGCTGTCCTGGGCTTGACTTTCCCCAGCAAAACCTCCGCCAAGAAGGGCCCCTGAGCCCCTGGAAGATGGAAGCAAGYGTTGGGGAAACACAGATGGCACCCCGAGAATCAACGGGCGTGAGGTCGAGGGCGAGCTTCCCAGAACGGCAGTGACCGTCCAGCCGTCCCTGCTCAGAGGGCAGCTGTGACACCAGCCCCACGGAGGTCACGGGTGGAAATCCCAGCCCACTGACCCTGCCAGCCCGGCTCGAATGCTCTGGGAAGCACAGACGACTCAGGAGTGTGCACCAGCTGGAACCACTGCCCTTCTCCATCCCCAGATGCCCAAACGTCAGCCTACGTCTGAAAAGTAGGTCTTAAGTGAGGAAAACCGAATGTCCCTCTCCCCTCAGAGCCCCAGAGCTGCTGAGACCCGGTGCCGAGGGAGCACACGCTACCTCTGATGGGTTTTCAGCAGGCGGACCAGCCCAGACAGAGTCGGCGGAGCCAATTTAATGTTCCCCAGATTGACACCAGAGACTGAATGGGGCTGATTGCTCTGAAATCAGTCTTCCAGCCCCTTTC